ACATTCTGAAAATCTTTCTTTACACATGAATATTTTATTGCTTCTCATGTTTTGCCTTGGTCTCCTAACTGTCTTTGCCTGCGCTGTTTTCTATTTTTGTTTCCTGAGGTGCAACTTCTTTCTGAGATGTGACCTAAGCGTTCATCATAGCTGTGTCCAGCAGGTGAAATTAAGCCATTCAGAAATTGAAGATAACCTCCTTCCTTACCACAGGGACTACAACCATCCCAGAGATCTACTTTAAGAAGAGCAAGATGCTCCTCACAAAGCTGCCGGCTCCGGTGGACAGTGATGGCTTTGTCACCTTCCTGCCCTATGGGTGAGATAGCCTACCCACACTTACTTGGAAGAGTACCTTACTTTGAATGCACCCTTGCAATGAAGACCCTGCTCTTCGTAAATTTTGCAAAGCTGGTCCAGAGAGAGCGGAGGTTCTCCTCATCCCTTCCTACAAATCTAATAAGCACATTGTTGTGCATTTGCAGAAGTCTTCTAAAACTCAGTTTGATGGTAAGAAGCAATTTGGAATTCTGTACACTACATCAAAGCACTGCTCCCTTCATATACAGAAACATTTGCCTTCAGATGGTGGGCAACATGCTGCCTAATGCTTCGAAAGGGTACTTTGCTGGTCTTCTGGTGGGAATTAGCTGTTTCATCTGAAAGAGGAACTTCTCGATTGCCATCTGACTCCTTAGAGGGATTAACGCCTCCTTGACTGCATTTAGAGTGCAGTAACCAGACCATCCCAGTCCGAATAATAAATGTGCTGTGAAAACGTATTTAGCCATTGGTTCCTCCTAACGGTAACGTCAGAGCTTCCAGTTAATTGTGCTTAACTTTGGGCCCTCAGAGAGAACACGACATTTAAACACCATCTTTACTTCCGATTTCTGTGTCCCACAGAAAAGCTGTGCTGGACTACTTACTACACAGTTTTACAGTCAGCCTGCAGTCGTCATTTCTGTGGTATCATGCAAACACGGGCAGCTAAATTCAGACATGTAAATAGCATCATTGCTTGCTCATAGGATCAAATTTCCTGGCTACTAGAAAGCAATAAATTACTGCAATTTCAATCAGACAGGCATAGCAGTTAAACCTTCACTTTTTAGCGCTACACCAGATTTGCAAGCATATATAGTGAAAGTCTTGACTCTCAAAGATAAACAGTAGGCACTCCTAGGCCTTTGAACAATTCATTCAAGATCCTCTGCCTGCAATCACTTACATATATGCGCGGTTTCCATTTCACACATGGTTATACCTAACTCATACGTGCAAGTATCTATAAAGATCTGGTATTTTGTTGCTTATATGTGGATTTAGTTTCTTAATATCAGGCACTCACATTGGAGTGCCTCTATGAGCAGTTTTTCCCATGAAATAAATAGTCACACAAATTAATAAATACTGTATTTTAGGGAGCTGCATGCTTGCTGATCTCCTTTCCAGTCTGTCCTCCGAGCCATCCAAAGGAAGCAGTGCTCATTCTTGGCTAAACAATGCACAAGAGATTCAAGTTCGGTAGAGTCAGGGAGCTTTCATTTACCTTTAGTTGCAAACTGCTGCATAAACCCTTGTCATCCCATTCCGGTACTCTCTGTTGTGGTTAATACCCAAATAATGCAAATTGCTCTCCTTTGTTATGATCTGGAAAGCTATTCACAGGGTACGGTCAAAGAGCTGCTTAGTTTATAGGCTCCCTCTGTCCCAATGACAGAAGGCAGGAGAGGTATGCCCCAAGCCCAGCGTGTACTGGGGCGATCATTTGCCTTTTAATGTTTCTAGCCAACAATATTTAACTAGTTGGCCAAAACGTCAAAGCTGTTGGTTGAGTCAGGTCTCCTGAGCATTTGGGAGTCACTGCCAAGAAATTCTAATCTGTTCAAAAATCTCTAAAGCTGAGTTGCCAGCCCTTGATTGCTGCTGTCTGAGAGACAAGGTTATCAACCCTTTCCCCCCATGTATCTGACCTTACAATGAAATTAAAGGTATTCTCTACTCAGTATAATTGTACGTAAACATTGGAGATAGTTCTTTTAATTACATTACACTTTGTCTCTCATAGTAAGAGGTGAGTGTTTCAGCGAGCGCATTTGCTTTACATCATGTCCTTCTCATCTGACGACCGTCTATATGGTAAGAAAAGGCTGAGCTCTGCATTACGACTAAGACAGGCAAACTTAGTGAAGACAATAGCCAAAAATATACCTTTTTTTGAAAGTTAAAATCGCCACGAAGCACAGGACCTTATTCCCTGTCTTTCATATTTATCTAATCTGTCTTACATTTCTAAGGCTGATATCACCATATAGATAAATTTTTGTTAAGCTCTTTTGGTCTAGCTTTGTGTTTAGCTTGATTTCATCTCTGCTATAGCCCATTCTGATTACTTTGCTTCTCCAACACTTGCCCCTCTTTTGTTCTTTTTTTCCTCTCTCCTATCTCTTGGCATAAGAACTTTTATCTATGTGAATAAGCCTACTCCTTTCCAGAGAGATCAGAGATCTGAACACTTAGGCCCTGCAGCATGGGACAAAATAAAAAGCGGTACGAAGTCAATGTGAGGAAGGAGAGCGTATTAGGGCCTAACACCTCACTACATGGCAACGTACCACTATCTGCATTTCAGCAGCTCATTTGCAACTATGGAAAGCGCAAAATGGCCTATCCTTTCTACTTACCCCATACCAGTGCAAAGTTTGTCCTTGGCACTGACTGGAGAAGACTGGCTGCCATCTCAGACACTTATCATTGCCTGCAAGCTTCTGGAAACTTATGTCTGAACCTTCCACTCACCAGACGCCCTCTTTCCATGAGCTCACAGCATCGGTCTTCCTCAGAAATCACCCCAGAGCACCCCCAGGGCCTAGATCTTCACCTCAACCCCTCTGTGGCACACTGGATGGGAGATGAACCCATTTAATAACTTCCCCAGAAAATCAGTGTTCCTCTTGAGCATGCATGCTCTTTAACATGTAACAAACCTTTTGTAGGTCATGGCAACCAGAGAGCTGGAGACTGTCACAGAAGCCACCAACTTGTACTACTAGTATCTGGTGGCATACGTCATAAGGGAATTGTTGCCTGGTAACTAATTCAGGGGGTGTGTGTGCATGTGTGTGCCTGTCTGTTGTGCTGAATGGTTGCCATCAACCTGACAGTGCAGCTCTCTTCAGCACAGACAAGACTTAAGTAAATCGTGAGCCCATGCGACAAGAGTGTGCTTGGTTCAATACTTTCTTAGCTTGGCTCAGAACTAGTAAGTACTGACACGACTCTCCTACCTCATTGCAGCACACTATAAAAGAGCAGCCACTGGACTGCACTATATCTGGAGACTGCCCTCTACAACAAGACTTCAAGCATTTGTGAAGATACTTCTTGGAGTATCTGAGAAGTTTTAAGGCTGCATCCATTGACTTTTCCATCTGACCATTCAAAAACACACACACAGAAAAATGGAAGACATACCTTTGCAAATTTTTTTGCCATGAATTCATACCTAGTTCCCTTTCTAAGTCTATCTAAACATTCCTGAAAACAAGCATCTTGGTTTGTACAAAAAATTGTAAAAATGAAAGAAGAGAAAATGTAAAAAATGAAGGAGAAGATAATCTGGTGATTGAG